TCAAGAAATGCTGAGGAAAACTGGAGTGTCTGATTTTCGAGATGTTAATCATCAGAGATAGAAGACCCACCCTCAAGCGGATTCCATTCTTACACAATTACAACGCATTGAATATCGAAGAGCCAGTTTGGAACAGCACTTATTGCGTAATACTCTGAAACCATAACCACAATCGTTTTTTCGAAGTATCCTTACGTTCTTTTAACAAATACAGTTATAAAACTTCACTTCTTTCGGAGGGGGACTGGGGACATTGGGTGGTACCCAATACCGCAATACCATAAGAAAAATTGGCAAATACGGAAATACACTAAGTAAACTAAGTTGTATCCATCCCGCTTGTTTGTTTATCTCAAGCATGTATGCACCAAAAATCAACCTCAGCCATTGCGAGTAAACGTGAGAAGACCTCGAACTTATCGGTGTAACGATCGAAAAGCCCGGTCATTAGATGAAACAACAATTCCATAATAGACTATCTGTCATAAATTGGGTAATCATTCACCGTTAAGTCTAAAGTAAAGTTTTCCAAATATTGACCTGTGCATTAGACAGAAGAACGCAAATGAACGGTACCGAAATACCGTGAAGGATCTTCTTTTACCGAATACCGTTAGCCAGAAGGATAAGAAACCGTATACCAAAGGGCTAGATTATACCGCAATACCGCACATTAAAATCACAATTACCGAAATACCGCTTAAAAAAAAGGTCAATACCGTAAACCGCCATGCTCCTTCCTTTCGAGTATCAAACAGCATAAAACAAAATAAAATGCACAGGCGTTTAAATACAACAGCCAGCGCGGTGAATACAACCTGGATTATAGCTCATCCGTTTGGGACCTCTTTTGCAGAAATGCTCGTGGTGAAAGACCAGCTTGAAAGTTTCAGTCTTGTGCAGTCTTGCAATCGAACTAAAAAAAAACTTGCGTTCGTTACGCATCAATTCATTGTGAAAATTGTCGTGATACAGGAAACCAAATAGAGTCGAACCTCCATTTGCGACGAACTCTCGTTAGCGACCACTTCCTTTAAGCGACCACTTATCCAAAACACAAAACTTTTCCCCGTCAAAGCCAGTTGAAAACTCTCGTAAACGACCACCTCCTGTATACCTAAAAGACCGCGACCACTTTTTGGTGCTGAAGGTTTTATAATTTTCTATAGTTTTTAACCTCTTCTAAGCGACCAATTGATGTATGGTCTGATCTTTTTGTTCGCTGTATGTATGTACTATGGTACTCAGAGTATACGAAGAACTTTTTAGTGACAACATGGAACTACACATGTAGTATCTTAGAATTTGCCTGCAGTAAATTATTCTCCATAAAGTATATGATTCCGGTGGGCCTCTTCTCGGAAAAGACCCCCTAGGGTTTGATAGAAAAGAGAAATTAGGCATTGATTTACTTACTTAAAAGATAAGATGATTCTTTGTGAGATTATGTTCAGCTAGCACTTTGAAGTCCCAGTTTGGTTCCGCAGTCTCTCTTAGCTTGTTGTTAGCCAAGCATACAGAAGGACGCTTTCTTTCAGAGTTTCCGCAAATTCTAGTAATCCATTGTCGCCCGGGGGAGGGGGGTGACCCCCAGGATAAAGCCCCTGTAGGAGGCCAATCTGGTCTTTATTTGACACATAATGGAGGAGAACATTATGGAACAGCCAACCAAATAAGAGCTGGTAATAATAATATTTTATACTTCTAAGTCGTATTTTAGTATAGGTATGTGATCAAATGTGCATACACGAAAATGAGACTTATATAGAACAAAAGTTATACTATCTACTGTACTGAAACTATTTGCAGTCAATTGCAACATCAATAATTTAGCATGGCTAAAAACGAGCAAGATATAAAAAAAGGAAATAAGAGTAGAAAATAAAAGAACCTCTGAAAACTTAAACAAAGTCAACGTAGGCTTCTCTAACAGCTACAGTGATATCAATTTAGTTAAAGGATATTTCTTTGTTGTTTCTTTTTTATATGAAGATATTTCTTTACCCAAAGCTTGCTGAAATTCTGTAATTTACACCTCTTAGTGAGACGGCAGGCTCCCCGTCTCTTTGAATGGAAGTCCCCCCCCCCCGATCAGCCTTAGGCAAATGGCGTCATACAATTCAGGAATTTGACACTATGAACTTCTAAATATAAATAAGATTACAATCTATAATTTACATGTTAAGTGAGACTCCTTTCTAGCATCCACATATTTAGAGTTCAACGGTTAAAAGAGGAGTAAAGGACAGCGAAAATGGCGCGGAAAAACAGCGTGCAAGGTATCCATTCCTCTCTGATCTCAACTCAGTATCAGATAAAACCGTCGCTTTGTCTGGAATGGCGCGATTGAGTAAACCTATTGAGAACCCTCTATACTCCCCAATGGTAATCATTTGTGACCTGGTTGTGAGCTTTTAAACGATGCCTAGTCTTCTATTAGCCATACGCAACTCGTTGCGTGATTACACAAAAGATGGGCTGCGTAGGACACTACAGTAATAAATTATTCTTATCCTGAATTTCAGTCGTCTCTCCAGGTGGCAAACTCCCGAGAAAGACGGCGACTCTTTCGGGAGTTTGGGACTCGAGGAGACCGCTGAAAATTCAGGATAAATGATTACTGGATTGCCATCAATAACTTGCAAACTCTATGATTCTTGAAGACACTTAACCTGTGTACAGCCACCCCCTCCCCTCAGAAAAAATCGAAGAGGGGGCTCCTTCTCCGATTTTTTTTCCGAGGGAAGGGGAAGGCTATACACAGGCTAGCTAGAGAGCACTTTGCATAGTAGACCTTGGAAATAGAGGTGAATGGTCATTGTAGAGAAGTGGCTGCTATTTGCTATGTGGGCGAGTTGGGATGCACTGTGAGAAAAGATTAGAACTGAGTGGGTTAGGAACATTTTTACCTTGCGAAAATAAGACGCGCGTGCCTTCTCTCGCTCAACTGTTCAACTGTTTATTAATTATTGCAAATTTTATCCACTGTCTGCAGTTAGCAGATTAGCTGGTCGAGGCGAGCAGTGGTTACACTATGTTATATATATTCAAGTAGCTCACAAGCAAGACGAGAGGAAAAAAGTAAAAAAATGTTAAATAAATAATACCCGGCGCGTATTTGCCTCAGTTTTCACTACCGGCTCTGTACTTTATTAGGGAACTTACCAGTAAGAAACGAGAATTTTGACGTACCGGACGTCAAAAATGTCAACCTGTTTTTCTTCTCTCTTCCAGTGTTCTGACTAGGCAAATTTGTACAGTGGGAGTTAAAACAAAGGCATCCAGATTCGTTATCTTCGACAGAAGCATTCTTTCAAGAACTTATGAAGCGAGATATCAAACTTCGGGTTGCCTTTCATGACGTCCGGGACGTCAGCGTTCTCGTTGCTTAAGCTCGCTACCATCTTGGAGCCTGGAAAAGCCGATTCAATTTAGTTATCCTATTTAAGGATCACAACGGGAACAATGCCAACAAGGGTGAAAATGAAAAAAACAATACTCTATTCAGGATCGAGACCCTCAAAAATTATTCCCTAACGGGCGGCAAATACCTATCTAGCGCATATGTAGGAGTATGATCAGTTCTAAGCTTGACTACTGTAACTCACTTCTATATGGTATTCCAGAATACTTGTTTTGTAGATTACAGCGTGTTCAGAATACGGCAGCTCGCATTGTCACGTTAATAAGGAAGTATGATTCGATTACCCCGATAATGTTCAAGCTACACTGGCTCCCCGTACATTTACGTAGTATTTTTATGCTCCTGTTATTAGTCTATAAAGCACTGAATGGAAAAGCACCCTCTTACATTTCTAGTCTGCTGAGCCATCGTAAGTGCTCTCGGTCTTTACGCTCCAGTGGGCAAGAACTGCTCACTGTGCCACTGGCTAAACTAAAGACTTATGGAAATCGGGCGTTCAGCATTGCTGCGCCAGGGCAATGGAATAACTTGCTTCTTAGCATTCGTAAATTTCCATCAATCGCTATTTTTAAAAAACATTTGAAGACTTATCTTTTTAAAGAAGCCTATGGTTTTTAACTTTTATTTTTAATACACGTTTTTCTTTCTTTCTTTTTTTTTTTTCTTTCATTATCTGTAATTTTATCTTAGTACTTTTAGACCTTAGATTTTTAAATTTCATTTTTTGTATAATGTACATATATTTTTTAAGCTTTGTAACTAATTTATCTCGATATTTTGTTATATTTTTTAGCTTTTAGGTTCTACGTTAATCTGATCATTGTAAAGCGCTATGAAAGAGTAGCTGAATAGCGCTATATATTATTATTATTATTATTATTATTATTATTATTATTATCTCCTGGGGATTGTCACTCCTGCAAGTTTGTAACTGTCGCAACGTTAATCCTATACATTTCAAGAGGAGTCACCCACAACGTGATCACTGTTACTATATAAAATCCATGAGACAGGAATGAACGTGATTATTTTAGATAGTTTCATCATACTACAGAATTAGAAAAATGAGGTCGGTCTACTGAATGAAATCCATTTCTCAGCTACAAGTTAGTTTTCACCTCTGATTTCTGAAATTCGGTATCTAAAAGGCATTTTTCTCCAGACATTTGCATAGCGTTGACGGATTCCGTGCGTCCACTTTCCATACTAAATGGATACACATCAATCCCGTGTGAACAGAAATGAAATGGGACTGGTGTGAACATAGCTTATTGCAGTTGAAGAGCAAAGCCACAGGGTACTGTGCACGACAACGGATACTGAGTCTACGCTTTTCTGTTATAGAGAAAATACAAACAAAAGCAATTGTCAACTTTTTGTTTTACTCACTGTAATTTTAGCTCTAATAGCTATACTCACTATACAGCATGACATTACCGCAGCATCTTCTACAAAAACATAGAAAACTGAACGAGAAACGACCTTACTACTCTAAATCCCGCGATTGTCTTTCCATGGAGACAATAATTCTTGCAAACAAAGCTGGCGTTTCTTATAGATATAAGCTTGGTAGGAGTTAACCGCGGCGTTGCACATGATTAAGTTCACGGGCCAGCTGACAGAGAACACAAAGCGGACAACACTCAACCGCACAATAATCGTCAAAAAGGGAGCCCTGCAATTGTATGAAATGAAGTCAGTCATGGGTGAATTATCCTGTTTTTGGTATTAAAATAATGATTATATGAAAATCACATACAAGAAATGTGGGGAGAAGAATTAAATGAAAGACCATCATCGCAGTTGCATGTAGACGCAACTTTTTGGTATTGTTTCTTTATTCTCTTACAAAGAACTCTTCACGAAAATTGGCCCTCATTACCTCCTTTCAAAGTGAAAGGTTCTTTTTAAGAATAAAGGTGTGGTCGAGGCGATAATTAACAAATATATTAAAGAAAAGTTATATTGCCACAATTTTGCAGTAGTGGCTAAATCAGACTGCTCCCGTAATGTAATAATCACATAAGCTTCGAGAACACACTTCACTAGAGCGCCTTGAAGCCTCAAACATAAAATTTAGGGCTTAATAAGTTGGTTTCTCAGGTTTGCACTGTGCTCAACAAGTGGGTGCCGTAAAAAAGGTTTTCTGCAGTGTTATTTTAAATGTTCTTTTACTGTTTTGATGGATTGGTTATTTTCATACTTCATTCAATTCATTTTGGTGGCATCTTTTTATTAAATGGCTTTATTTAATTTTCATAGATGTGGGACAAAGCTCCTTAAAGAAAACTCGTCCCCTAGAACCAGGTTATTTTTTAAGCTCTTGATGCCTGTCAAATACCTGAATATTCTCCTGCACCCTCAGCTTGATCCTGAGTCCCAACAGTGCACCTGGGCAACAACAAGGAAAGCAACATCCTTCGCCCATCCTGGACGAAACATCGGTCAGCAGCATGTAAGGACAGCAAAGGCCCGTAAACACTTGAAACACAAACAAAATGAAATAAACGTGGCTGGGTTAGCTCAGGTGGAAGAGCGCTTGTCTGCAGAGCGGGAAGTCGCGGGTTCGATTTCCGGATCCGGACCAATACTTGGGGTCCTTAGAAAACTGAGTAAGAAGGTATTGTCTATGGTTTGGAAACGGATAAGCCGCTTCACGTGACTAGGATGACCACGTAAACAGGGGCGTAGCTAGGGGGGGGTCCTGGGGTGCCCGTGACCCCCCCTTGGTAGGCCTTCTTTTGAGCAAACAACCTACAATATTCAGGTAGCGAAAACGCCATGACAATATCTTGGCCGTAAAAGCCATTGTTGAAAAGCCCACTTTTTTAAAATTTGTTTTTTTGTGAAGTATTTTCGTCAACGGCTCTTGTCTTTAGTTAATATGGGCGTGGATGTCGACATGACAATCTGGTGAGTAGCCTCTGTGACCCCCCCTTTGAAAAATCCTGGCTACGCCCCTGGTAAAAATGGCGGAGCCGTATCTATTAGGAGACGTGAAAATATTGTCCTCAATGAGTACATTCGAGCAAGAAATACTGACGCTAAATAAATAAAGTTGTTATAACTATTATCAACGCCACATTAACTCATTTGAGTGCCGCTTAAAGAATACTTACGAGAGCCACAGTCCTCAAAGCAACCAAACAATCCAGAGCTCCAATTCCGTTGTGCCTTTTCCACCACAACTGGTTGCTGATTCACCACCACAGTGGTATTGGTAGTCTGTTGTGCATACGGTGCCGGTTGTTGATTTACCACTGGATACTGACCCGGGGGGTATGCCGGTGGATACATCGCTTGATCTGGGGAATGTGGATGAGCCATGGGTGGGGGATCCAATATTTAGGCTCTGAAAGGAAAAACAAAATTTAAAACAAAAATCAATGATATAAAAGAAACTTGATCATGACGTTTCGATGGCTTCATGTCATCATTAGGGAGTTTGAGCTCGTTCGGAAGTGAGCCTTTTTCTCCTCTAATATTCCTTTACGCTACCAAATTTGTATTGCTAAGTGTCTTTACTCTTATACAGACGATTCGACCAAAAATTTGTCCAAAATTACGGCTCAAGAGTGCAAAACCTCCACTTCCGGTTGACGTCCGTGGCTCAAAAACGTCGCTGCTTTAAGCTCTTATTATCAAAAGATAAGCAATTAACTTGATTCGTGGAAATATATATAGAAAAAGAAAGTGCGACAAGTGCATGTAAATTAAAATTTAAGCGTGAAAATGGACAAATAAGAATTAAACTAGTTATAGCTATCGCTAAGTGTCAACGAGCAATGATTTTACCCATTCACCATTTTCACATAGACCATAATGCACCTTGTTTAGCCCCCAAAATTTTGTATAACCATTGTTTCCAATTTCTCCTGGGTATTACAGTCATCCCAAGAGAAATCCAAGACAATGGTTATACAAAATTTGAGGGGGGGGGGGTAAACAAGGTGCATTATGGTCTATGTGAAAATGGTGAATACGCTTTGCTGTGCAATCTGTTTAGAAATGTATGAGAGAAAATTACCGGCTTAAAAATAGTGAATTAAACTGTTCTACTGCATAAAGAATTTGAAGTCCCGACTTTACATAGTATATTTTTCGAGACGAAGTTGCGCACAGGTCATTTTGCGACCTTTTTGCCAAACAGGAGGAGATTTCATTTCAAGTAACCAAAAACCAAGACGAGGACATCACATCATACCAATTGGTGTTAATAAAACAAGATCGTGTGCTTGTAAATTAATTAAAGTACTTGCTTCTTTGACTAGTGATCTGGAATTCGTTTTTTTACCTTTCGACAAAAATGGGTCGGTCGGGCGATGTTAGTGGGGGTTCGAGTTATCGGGATTCAACTGTACGTCGGCGCTCTTTAATGGTGGATAGAATGAGGACAGTAGGGGAGCAGCGGGCAAATATTAGCAATAATTAAAAAATATAAAGCACCGTTATATCGTCGGCGAATTGGAGTCCGAATAAAATAAAATAAGAAAAAAAGTTGTGGGGGGGAGGCCTTCGTTTCCGGGTCTGCGTTTCGGGTCTTCGTTTTCGCTACAACCATTGATATTGTCAGAAGAAAACTGATGTTAGTCACTCTTGGGACTTTGAGGGTTAAGGTTGACAAGCTGATTTTGTGACAACCAAACTGAAGGCATCCGTGAAGGTGTTCCTGAAATTTCACTTGAGTGATCATGTGTTTCGATTCAAGCACCCTCGGCATTTGTTATTAGTAATTCCACTGAGTCATAAGGGTTATAGTTTTTGAACGAATAATACCGTGGGCATCTTTTACAGGGTTTTTGTCAAAAATAATAAGGTGAGATCTTAACTTTACATCTCAAAGAGAGTTGGATTATTGATTCCCCAGTATGCACACATTGATAGCCACACCAACAGACCCTTATTATATTGTGTCTTTAGAGGCAAAAGAACATGGTCCAGATTCTCACAGTGGCATATTCAGAGAAATAATTGAGTTTGAAAGTTACTCTTTATATAGATAGAACCAAGGCCAAGTAATTATCCAAAAGATTTAGGAGGGTTTGATACTCTATATCTGTAAGGAAATGTTTTTAACTTTAACAGTGTCCTTTCCCATAGACTAGCTCCAAAATTAGGGTTTTATGCCAAGGCTTGGGGTTCTTATATAGCAAGTTTGCTTTTTGGAAACAGTTTAGTGTAGATGGCAGTAAACAAGGAACAGCGGGCTGATCAGAGTTGGCAATTGCATTTTCTTTTTCATGCAGATCCACATTCAGTGATAAAAGAGAGTATAGCTGTGGTCTGAGTGAGCTGCTTCCGAAGAGGACTGTAGTTAAGATTCTGGTGCAGGGGATTCTTCCGTATATAGTAGCATTTTTTTTTCGGGGCGGAGGGGTCTTTCATAGATAACTTGTCTGGAGTAGAATTGTGCAGGCCAGTCACCGTTTCGAGCCTAGCTGAGTTGCAAAGTTGACTCAAGCCATAACATAGCTTGTATATAATTGCTACAGCCCTTTTTGTTGTTGTTGTTGTTTGCCTGTATTCGCTCATTGACCAATAAAAAAAAAAGCAAAACATACCATAATGCTCTTTGTTTGTCACCCCAAAATTTTGAATAAGCATTATTTTCAGTTTCTCTTGGGGCCATTTTAACTCCCAAGAGAAACTGAAGACACTGCTTATGCAAAATTTGGGGGTGACAAGCAAAGAGCATTATGGTATGTTATGCTAGTTTCTGTGGTCGTCAATTGGAGTGCCTGCTATTGGCCATGGCTGCCAGAATAATAGAAAATATAGATAGTGCCTCAGCTTCAGTACACAACTCTTGGAATTCCTCGGGGTGTAGATGGGGCGCTTCCCTGTTATGGAAAACCGTCTGTACATTTCGGCTTTTAGTGACCTCATCTCTGCTTCCAGATCACATCCTAAAAAGATAAATGATAGTGCTATTTCAGTACATCGTTATTTGCAAAAGGGAACCTAACGAAAAGGACGTAATTTAATCATATGCACTCTTACATTTGGAGAACTGTGCCATGCGCTCGGAAACTTCTTAGGGTAGTTGCAGGGTGTGGCTCTATGTGGGGTACGGAGTACCTCTCCAAAACAGGTGTCTTCAACTCGCCATGTTAGCTGTCCAAATACCAGAAGAATAAATGTTTTGTGTAGACGGTAGAGTGAGTTTTCTTGGGTACTCGTCTTACAGGTGGGGTCCGTTTCTGCGGTCATCCGTTTAAGAGGTGGCGACTTCTTCCCACCAATTGCAAATCTCCATAAAAAAAGAATTATTTTATTCCCCCTGGGACACTTTGCAATAAAACCTAAATGTTTGTTTTACAAAATGTTTCATTATATAGGTTTTACTGAAAAAAACATGAGTACTTTAATACGTGTTCAAAAGTTTCCTCAGTCTTCCTGTGTCTACTTGTCGCCGTTCTTCAGTTGCGGGTTGCCTCGTTCTAAGACCACGTAGCCTGCGATCATGCCCTTTCCCTTTATCTCTGTTTTTTTTTTTCTCCCCTTCGGCCCAAAGAAGCAGAGAAGCATTAAAAAATAATAATAATAACGCCAGATCTCAGGTTAACGACCACGTTCAGCGGTAGTTTGCACACGAGGCTTTGATTCGATGCGTGTTTTTGTATGTGGCGCATATTAGTGCAGCATTTTTTCCGCTCTAGACAAATTCGAGCCCAAGGAGGCAAGCAATGAAAAAAAGCAGTGATCGTGACATCATCATACCGCGACCGCGGTCTTTGCACATCGTTTGCCTTGGTGGTAATTAATTCACGCGTCAGCAATACGCGGCCTGCGATCTGCATTTAGCGCGTAATAGGGGCAACAACAGAATCTCTTCCTGTTCATTTTGCGTAAAATTTAGTGGTCTTGCAAGCAAACTTACCAGGAGTAGTCAATCGATAGAAATCGGTCAATCTGATTTGATTGATATCGATTGTATCGATCAATCGGTAGAAATTGATGACAAACTCGTTTCTTTTATCGATTTATCTATTATTTATATTGGCCTGGTGATCTGTAGGCGCCCAGTTTTTCAAGATTTAGATATAGCACCCTTTCAAAATAACGTCGGTGTAGATCCGGGTCCAGTTACATCCCGGAGGACCCGGAGTAGTCAGTAGATAAAAATCGTTAGCAATAAACTGATTCTCATCGAATGATATCGGAAAACAGTGGAAATCTATAGAAGAAAATCTTTTCGCCTGAATCCCGACTCGAACGAATGTGTGGAATTTAGGCTAGGAAATCTTTATCTAAGGATGCATTTCTCGTGATTACTTGCCTGTGAGAACTGAATGTAATTAAACCGAACCTTTTTAATTATTATGTACAAAAGAGAGGGTTTTAGAGGGAAAGTTGTTTGTGTAATAGTTTCCACATTTCTCATTTTCATGTTTGCTGATCAGTTGTTACTTGTGGATCTGTTTTCTTACTCGTGCCCAAAAACAACAATGGCAGACTTCCCTTATATATCGTTAAAACCATGAAAAATCGATAAAAATCACTTGATTACTACCTATTTTTATCGATTGACTACTCTGGGAACTTAGAATCCTCGAAAAATCTAGACTGCAAAACAGTCCGTACTTTTGCGTATTCAAGTACGCTCGAGCAGTCAACGGGAACGAGGCTGAAAACAGAGAGCGAGACTGGAGAGAGATTAAAGTCCGCGAATATTCAACGTACATTATTATTATTTGGTCTCTTTTTAAAGCTTAAGAAGTCTACATTTCAGGAAAAAAAGAGATTTATGGTGCGCCGATGAAGCCTTCCGAATTATTTTGCTTCAAAGAGGTCTTCAAAGACACAATAAATTTTGCGGCGTTATTATTTTTTCGTAGCCGCAGGCAATAAAAAATTCCAGCGGGCAAATGCGACAGCTACTGCGTCCTCTATATAAAGCTATTGCATAGCCTATAGGGATCCTAGGAGAGAGCTGTTCAATACGCTAAAAAAGGAAACTAATCTTATTCTTGACTCTATGACTGCAAGCTCTGCCCTTACAACGTTCATAAGTATGAAGCAAGGAGAGAAAACGCAAAAAATGGTGGCTAAATACGTATATGATCGCTTCCGCGAAAGAGATAGACGCGTTAAATATAACCTTGTTTAATAGTTGTATAAATTTTACAAATGTACACCTCTGTAATTATTGCACGAAAATCTTTGTTATCGTTGTAAACACATGCGTCTGTAGGCGCTCTGTTGATAATAAAGCACTTATCCTATCCTATCCTATCCTATGAAAACGGCCATTGCAAATGAATCCACCCGACGATTGCTTGGTTGAAGACGGGATAAGCACGGGACTCAGTAGACTGCTTCCAGTC